GATCTACACCCCTTTCTCCCAGCTGGCGGTCGATAACAGGTAGCCGGCAGATGCCCCCACGCCGGCGGCCGCCCCGTGACGGACCAGTGGCCGCCGGCCCGTGTTGCGCCCGCGGCGGGCGGGTCGCGCGGGCGCCCCGCCGTGGGCCGCAAGCGGTTGTTTAAAACTTGTGCAGTATGCGATGGCGTACCGCGACGCGGACAACACGACCTGAGGGCTCCAGCACTCCCCCCGCGCTGGCCCTCAAGGGCCCCGCTCTCGGCGGTACCCCGCGCTCGCCTCGCCTCGCCCCCGCCGCGAGCTGCCAGCGGCGGGGGGGAAGGGGAAGGGCACGAGGACGATGACGAGCTGGAAGAGGATGGGTGGGACAGGGAGGAGGCGGGCCCTGCAGTATAATAATTACCCCAGTGCGACCCTACCTAGAAGTTGGAGCCCCTAAGAAAGCAGCATTAGTTGCTATGCTATGCAATGCCATGCCATGCCATGCTATGCTGCGCTATGTTATGCTGTGCTATGCTAGGATGTGCTATGCTACGCTAGACTGCGATATGCTATGCTATGCTATGCTATGCTATGCTATGCTATGCTATGCTATGCTACGCAATGCTATGGCAGGCTAAGTTATGTTATGTCATGCTGCGCTGTGATATGCTGCGCTATGATATGTTATGTGATGATATGCTAAGCTGCGCTATGCTATGCTATGCTGCGCTATGCTATGCTATGCTATGCTATGCGATGCTTCGCTATTATATGATATGATATGCTATGTTTGGCCATGTTATGCTATGCTATGCTATGCTATGCTATGCTATGCTAATGCAGCGCAGCGCTATGCTAAGCTAAGCTAAACTAAGCTAACCCTCTAGGCAGAGCCTACGTAGGGAATTACACCCATGCTAATGATATGTTATGCTGCGCTATGCTACGCTACGCTATGCTATGCTGTGTTCTGCTATGCTAGAGCTCAGCGAAGCTAAGATGAAGGGAAGCTAAGCTAAGATAAACCTGAGGTAAGATGAAGCTAAGCTAAGCTAATATTGAATATGCTAAGTTAAGATGAGATAAGCAACGCTAAGCTAAGGGAACGTAACTGGGGGAACCGCGGGGCGGATGCCGGGGGAACCGCCCGGGGCGGGGTCCACTGCCCGGCCCCTTTAACCACAGAGAGTAAGAACCCTTCTAGGCAGAGCCTAGGTAGGGATAAGTATCCGGATCCAGCGTTTGTGGGTCCGCGCCATGTTCCGCGGATGGGGGTGGGGTAGAGGGAGCTGAGGGGAAGGAGTGGATGAGAGGAGTGGGAAAAGAGAGAGTGGGGGAGAGGAGACAACTAATGGGAATCATGGGGCTGCGTGCACATGAATGACTTATTAGCGGGTTTTGGGTGTCGGTCTCATCGATCCCTCATCTTGTCACTCGGTAGTTAGCCTGGCTCCGGTATCCTTTTCCGCATGCAGAGTGCGTTCGGATTGATCTTGGCCGCTCTTACACTGCGGCTTCGCGACCAGACCGAGCGGCCGCGATATTAGACGGCGGCTGGCTGCGGCCCAGAGCGCGTAGAGGAGGAGGCGGGCCCTCGTCCTCCTGCGCCTGTGCCTGCGAGCATCGAGGTGAGCTGTCCCGAGAGCGTGGTGAGCCCTTGGGTCGTGGAGGACATTGGAAGGCGGGCCAACTCCGAGCAGTGCGTGTGCCAACTTGAGTGCAATTCATCGTCGAGGGACACTTGGCTGGTGGTGACCACTTGCTTGCCTGTGTTCATCGGCCGGGCCTTCGCCGATCTCGTGTGCGCGTGCTGCGTCTTCGGGTGCCAGCCTCGATATGTCCGTCCCGTTCCGAGCAGCCCGAGTTGGGCCCACGGGCGCTCGGCCTTCAGTGCGGGAGTCATTGAGCAGCGTACTGCCAGGCCGCACTGTGGCGGCCAAGTATGACAACGGCCTTTGGCACGAACGCATTCTGCTGGGACCTGGGCTTCGTGATGGTTCCGGGCTTGTTACCAGCTGGCTCGCCGAGACGCCTGATCATGACAGGCATCAGGAGGATGTGACCACGGAGGCAGGGGAGGGCTCCCAGCTGGTCGTGCTTGACGGCATGGGCACTTGCCCTCCTGCTCTGCGCGGCAAGTTCTATAGGTTTGTTGGCGACGCCCACCCGACCGGCGCCCAGATCGCGGGCGAGGTGCAGGCCGCCGTTCGGCGCCTGCGCGAGCAGGGGCAGGAGCCTCCCGCACTGATGCACTACATCAGCGATCAGGGCGAGCTACTGCCCTTGGCAGGCGTGGGGAGGAGGCTTCGGCGAGGAGCGGGTCAGGACGATGTGGGTGGACTGCAACGAGGTTGGCGAGAGGCTCGAGAGCTGGAGGAAGGCGGTGCGGGAGAGCCGCGAGGAGGTGCAGGGCCCCCGTGGCTCCCTTCACCTTGCACGTCAGACCGAGCGGTACGGAGGCAACCCTTGGCGTTGGTGGCAGGCGAGGGCCAACAGCATTGGCAAGAACGATCGCACGTACCATGAGATGGTGACGCTCGCTGAGAGCTACAGGCTGTTCGGCGAGTACGACCATTTCAATGTGGGGTCCTCGGTGGGCATCGAGAAGATTGTCCGTCGCATGCCCGGGGTGATCGACGCCAACTCCACGGGTGCGGGGGCGCCTAGCTGGAAGATGGCCGCCGCGCATGAGGGCGAGGCCAGCTACTCCGACGCCATCTCGCCCGCTTTGCGCAAGTGGGGCGTCAACCGACAAGATCAAGGATCCTAATGAGATTGAGGCCGCTCGCCCCCGCAGACCGCGCCCCGCGGAGGTGACCGAGCAGGCCGCCGTCGGCGCAGGTGGCGCTGGAGCTGGCGGTGGCCGCGGCGGGCGCGGGGCAGGGGCAGGGCGGGGGGCCCGTGGCGCCAACGACCGGGCCGCCCCGAGGGATGTCTGACCAGGGAGGCAGACCGTGGACGGGCCCTCCACGCCGCGGTCCGCTGAAGGTGGGGGGTTTGCGGGTCCGACGGAGCCCCCTCTTCGAGGCGTTCCCGATCGGCCTGCCGCCACGGGAGCAGGCGCCTGCTGCTGGAGGAAGGAGTTCCAACAGGATTCGAGCTCGTGGCCACGTCCGGCGGCAGCTCACTGAGGGCGCCGCCAATTCACTTAATTGGCATGCGAAGGTCGATGGTCGCCGTCCGCCTGGAGCCCGAGGTCGTCCAGAGCGGGGGTCAGGCAGCGGAGACGCCACCTGTGCCTCTTCGGCCTCCGCCGACACTCTGGCTTACCTCGAGCAGCTGGCGGAGTCGCAAGTACGAGACGGAGACCAATGTTTTTCCGCTCCGCCAGAAGTGGCCCTGCGGGAGCTGCTCTGTGACAAGGCGTCTGGCTACAGGATGGGCGCTCGTTCGACCGCGCTCGCCCCATGCCGGCCCGGACGGGCCCCCTTGCCCGAGAAGCGGGACTCCGTGCCCGACGTCTCCAGCTTGGCGGGGGACCGCGGCCGAACGCATCTGGTGGGCGCAGGAGAGCGCGTGCTGGATCCGAATGCCGATGACTATTGCGCCGACGGTGCTGAGCGGCGCCACGTCGACCCTCAGCTCGCCTGCAACCCGACGCTCTGCGGCCGCTTCGCCCGAGATCTTCGTGCCAGTGCGCATGGTGTTCGGCCAGTGGGCCCATGAGCGAACTGGGCTTGTTCGTAAGCAAAGCGGAAATCGTTCGACTTATCTTCGACGCGCGGCGGGCGAATCGGCGGCTCGCGCCCCCGCCGCGCGTCGACCTGCTGACGGCCGAAGGTCCGGTCAGGATCGAGGTCGAGCTTCCCGACAATCAGGCCTTCTCTTCTCCGTGCTGTGGCACTGCTGATGTTCAGGATGCCTTTGGTCGTCTGGGCATGCCTTCATGGCTCCCTAGATGGTTCAAGCCTCCACGTCTTCGGGCTGGCGATGTCGGCATCACCGGGGCCGTTTGCGGCGTTGTGGAACCTGGCGACTGGGTCACACCCATGCCTCGCTGCCTGCCTACACCTTAGGCGATGCTTAAGAAAACTTAAGTTTTCGGCCAGAGTCTCGATTATTCTTAACGTTTCGATGTAAATCTTTCGATGTTAATAGAAATGTGCGGCTTTTATTCAAGTTCTGAGACTATGAATTTCTTAACCCATGATTTCTTAAGCACTTCGCAGGGTGTATGTGCTTATCATGGGGCCTTTTCTAGGCGCAGGACGTGGACGAAGAGGGGTCCAGTCCGGCCCTCGGTCGCGCCGGGCTCCTGCGCGATCGGGGCCCGCCGCTGGCCCTGGCGCTGCGAGGCGCGCTGGCCTCCGCTGCTCGCACCTACATCTACGTCGACAACATTGGCGCCCTCGATGGCTGCCCAGACCTGAGGCCGCTGGACGGCGCAGGCCTCCAGATGACGCCGCGACCGCTTTGACGCTCGCTGCCAGCACTGTGTAGTAAGAGTTTTCTTTTGATCGAGGATCACAGACCCAGAACAAACAAGAACAGGAAAAAAAAAAAAAAAACATTGGCGCCCTCGGCTCCGACGGCAGGGTCGTTGCCAGCAAGCTTGAGGACGTGTGTGCGCGGCCTTAGTCTCGGGGTCTTGCTGCGCGCGAGTGGAGCGTCTCGGACTCGGGCGTCGAGGCGCTGGGCGCGCTGCTGGACGGTCGGGGGCGCCGCGCGCGCCTGGCGGCAAAGCCCTTCTGGCGCGTGCGAGGGGTTTTGAGGGGCGCTCGCCCCTCGCGGGAAGATCTCGGGCCGCTGGGTGGGGGCCGTCGTGAGCCGCGCCACCTTTTGCGGCCTCGTGAGGCGCCAGACGCGGTCCGTGTTCTCGACGGCTTACCCCTTCACCAGGAAGCAGTATCACAAGCCCGTCGTACCTTGGGTTTCCGTGTGCGACGAGCACGGGGTCTCCGCTGGCCTCATGATAATGCTCGTCTCGATTTGGGAGTTTGATTGGGACCCGCTGGCGCAGGCCACCGACGCCTCCGAGTGGGGCCACGGGATCTGCTCGCGCTGGCTCAGCCCCGACCACGCGGCGGCCGCGGGCAGGCGCCGCGAGGCTTGTC